TTCCAGACCTATTGTGAAGCCCCCATAAGTTTGCGAAAACCAGTAGATATGAAATCCAGCTACTATTTGGTATATTCTCACACGTATTGGTGAGCACCGACCTTGTAGTCGAAGGCCGTGTCCAGCCGATATCAGCCATGTGTCCGGGTAAGCACATCTCGACTCTCGCGTGACATTCAAACAGCCTACCTGGTCTGTAGAACGCCATTGTTTTTTATCCCGGCTGATCTTGGTTTAGACGTCAGTTGACTTTATCCATCCCTCATTCATAATGTGTCAAAGGAAAAAGAGGGTACGTGAAAAAGTTTGATTTCGTCCCTCCCAGTGAGCCCATGATGCATATCCGACGGAAACTTTCTTGATGGTTGGCTAGTAGTCTCTGTATTGTTGGGGGCAGTGAGCGGTCTGGCTAATTTAGGAGGTTGGTCTCCACGAGTATGAGCAATGACAAAGTCGTGAGATAGTGTAGTATTACCATGTCGTCATATCAGGAAACTATACGCTCGTTAATTCTAACCAGCGAAAGTTAGCTTCTCATTAAGTTGCGCCGGCAGATATTTCACGATTTTTAACTCTTTCCTGTTGCTGAACTGGCTGAAGTTGACCATTAGTTTCGCGGTGTACTGCTAAAGCCGTGCATATAAAGACGTGAGGAGCGGTGCTTACTCTGCGACTTTTCCTCAGCAATAGGTTTATACTGGTCAAGGGTATCTCTTTGACTCCAGGCTGTGTCAACGCGGCCACCTCAAAGATGTCAGCACTCTGCTGGTGTTCACACGGATGTCACATTTCTCAAGCTTCAAAATAGCATAACGGAAGGCGCTTTCGAACCCTCAGGCACAGGTTGGTCAACCTGGAAGGACCTATCTCAAGAGCGCCAGCTGCGCGCATATAAGCGCATATCTGACGATCTTCATTAGCTCTTTTGGAAGATGCGGGACAACTTCACCAAGTACACATGGATTAGGCATGGTTGGAAAAGCACTGCAAATGAAATACGCGCCTCACTGTGGCAGCCACACCAAAAAATTCCACACGACCCAGGAATACCTAGGATATCACCGACTTGTTGCAGAAATACCCGGAATAGTTTGACAAGCACTGCAGGTTTCCCACGATTAACGTAGATAGACTCTGGCACTCATTGCAGAAGGTCAGACAGGACAATAGAACCTGTAATGTCTTCGGCGCGTCGGATTTGCTCTCTACCAGTGCAGGGAACAACGGAAAAATAGTTCAACGGATTCCCGGATTGGTACGCAGGATCGAGGCTGTTGCCCAAGCTTCCCGGGTCGGTTTTGCTCTTGTCGTTCAGTGGCTGTCATTCCCCTGAATGGCACGAGTAAACAAAGGGTGAAGCACTGCCCTTTATGTTCTCAGCGCGGGACAGTATGCTCTTCGGAGCGAGGATTCGTATAAATGTATGTCTAATAGTGCTCTAAACTGGGCAACCGTCGGGGGAAGATCATTCGACGCAGCTACTACCCGAAATGAGAAAAAATTTTGCCCAATGAATGTGTGCGCTCTGAGCTTGAAAATCTTCTTACCATGTCCCCACCATGTTTCTCCTGGGTCAACGGCGAAATACCTGCTTGCCAAGTTTTGTTTAAACGGGGTATAAGTAAGAATTAGGTCCCCTCGGAGGCGACGATAATCCGGGGGAAAGAGATCAAGCATCGCGAGACGCGTTTCATAGTCCACGGATTTGAGGCCTACAACCATTTTCTTAGCGGATCACTGGACACGCTCAATGAGGGTGGCGTCTTTCGTGCGCCCTGAGTAGACAACTTGGTTGGCGTATTCCAGTAGAGGTCTGACGTAGGCCTCAGAGAGTATTTGGACGTCCGTGCGAGCAATGCGGGAGAAGGTGCGTCGGATCATCCGCAAAATTGCGAATGCGTTTTGGGCCGACTTCTCATGGTGCAGTGAGAAGGACAGATTTGGGGAGATCCAGATCCCTAAATCTATTTTGCATCTATCCTCAAGATGTTTTCTGGTCCTTTCTCACCATGCATAACAAAGCCATTCGCTGAGTGTCCTCCAAATTACATATGAGCGAACTTTCGTCATTCAGGGGAAGGTGCCAGTCCAATGATCACTGTTTTGTAGCGTTTATATCCATTTGGATAGCACTGGCATGAAAACTCCAGGATTCCTATTCATGCAAAAGGTAGATATGAACTTGCAAGAACATCTGGAAGGTCTTTGACGTAGATCGAACCCATCATTTCAATAGGCGTATTATCCGCCGCTGACTATTCGCACAATGAGATTGAGCTCTCGAAATCTACGGCATTTTCAGACTTGCCACTTCATAGTGTAGAATGTCTATGTATAACGTATATGCTCCTGTATTATTGAAAATCCTTTAATATGGCGATTTGTTTAAGTCAGCGAAATCTCAAGGTCAATAAACACCACCGACTGTGAATACGTTACCTGATGATAAAAAATCGCGAATTGTGGAAAAGGTTGACTCACATACAACGAACGTAACTTTCAGGTATTTTTCCACGGGAACAAATTTCCTCAATATTCTAGAATCTAAGTAGCCTTCGGAGATGCAACATATGCGTAGGCGCATTCGTGCAAACAAATTTTGGCCGATGATTCTTTGTTGCAAATAAAAATTCCGTGGTGCACGCTAATTATTTGCTAAACATCGTGCACGTTGCCTGGCAAATTACAGAGCTTTTCATTATAGGTTCCGAATTATGCTGGAAAGACCTCTAGGTTCATCGACCTTAA